AAATACTACTAGTATAGGCCTGGGTCCGGTTGTCTGGTTCTACCTTTACGAGCTACATCTATTACACTGGATAACATTACTTACCACTCTACCACAAGCATTGGCTCCACACGTGTCAGGTTACTGTACCATGGTTGCATTAGCAACAATGAATACAGATCACGTATCGTACGGGAAAAAACAATACATAGAAAAAGCACTTCAAATTGTAAAAACCTTTTGACAAAAACACAACCAAAAATAACTCAGGCCCGGATTAAAACGGAACCAAAAATTCCAAAAGAGTAAAACTGGCCGACCAGTTGGGTCGACTGTACGAAACGATGACTGGGAAAAAGCCTATGAAATATCTACTGATATTTCCACCTTAACTGTATGACCCTTTGAAGGTGTGACCCTTTTAAGGTCACAAAACGAAACGAATGGAGAAAGTGTATATTTCACGACATATAGTTTGAAACATCTTTTGATATTTCACAATAAGATGAGTAAAAATACTTTCGATCACGATCACTTTGAAAATTCAGACCAATCGCTAACGTACTACAAGGTCAGGACGATTTGTAGCTCTTGCCAATCCAGCGTCCAGATTTGTGTGTACCCAGCGAGTTTCCTTGGCTTCCAACACTTCGATATGCAATTTTTCTGAAAAGCAGAAATATTTGGTGCAGTATCACATCCTTTTTGGTTAGGTTATAGATGGTATTAAACGCTTGCCTCAGGGAAAACCGCTATCCAACGCTCATCAAGTGCCCTCTTAAAAGCATTCACAGTACTGCAGCTTATCACTGACAGCGGCAACCGGTTCCACAACGGAATTACCCTGTTAGTGAAAAACTTTGCTCTCGGTTGCAGCCTGAAGTGACTTCGTTGCAACGGCAAGTTATATCCCCACGTGCCTCGATGCGGAACCCAGAAGAACAGGTCGTCAAACCTAAGACCTGACACCCTTGAAAACCTTAAATATCTCAATTAAATCTTCTCTCATCCGCCTCCGTGTGAGGGAGAACAGATTCAAATCTCTGAGCCGCTGTTCATAGCTCTTTCCCCGTTGCCCAGCGATCATTTTCGTGGCTAGACGTTGAACCCTCTCTAAGGTATCGACGTCCTTCCGAAGGAACGGAGCCCAAGCCTGCACACAATATTCCAGATGCGGACGGACGATGCTTTTGTAAAGAGAGACAAAGACCTCTGGTTTTCTGCATAACGTCTTTGAGCATAGCCGAAACAGTTGTCCCCTGGCTTTGTTTGCGGTCTTCACACATTGGGTGCTTGTTTTGAAATACCGCGTGACCACTATGCCTAGATTCTTTGCCTCGTGTACCCTTTGCATCGACAGGCTCCATGCTGTCTCTTCGTCATTTCTGGTCGTCAGTATCTGACATTTAGAAACATTTTGTGGCAGGGCCCATTGTTAGGATCATCTTTGTACTACCTTTATGTCCCTAGCTAGATACCATCCAGCTATCTTGACGTCATCTGGAAACAGAAAACAGGGATTTGGTCCAGTCCAGTCCAGTCTTCACAGGACGTATAATGGCTCTGCCAATTGAGCGTCCAGATTATTGTGTTGTCGGCGGGTGTTCTTGGCTTCCAACACTACGTTTTCTGAGTTTCTTTTGCCAGGTTCTCAGACGAGCTGGAAAAGAGAAAACAGAAGAGATGTTCAGTTCAGTTCAGTTGCACAGGACGAATATGGCTCTTGCCAATCGAGCGTCCAATTCGTTTTGTTGTCGGCGGATGGGATTAGCTTCCAACACTGCGTACGGTTGATTGAGTATTTGTGATCCTCACACTTCGACCCCGTGTCCAGAACGTTGTCTCCTTACGGGTATGCTGAAAGAGAGATGTCTTCTCGCCTCGTTGGTGAGAGACCCAATAGATACCTACCACCAAACTGTTTCAGAGGATGTAGAAGCCCAATAGTCATCTAATGCTTTCTTGAAAGGTTAGATGTTCGAGCAACTTACCACATTTTCAGGTAGACTATTACAATAAGTTGTTACTCGACTTGTAAAGAACTTGGCTGGAATGTCCAGCCTGACAGGTTTACGTTGCAGCCTTAAACTATGCTCTATTACCACTTGAGAGGATAAATTGTAACATATCATCAAACTTAAGTCCGGAGAGACCGTTCATGAACCTCAAGACTTCTGTGAGATCCCCCCTGGCTCTCCTTCTTGCCAGAGAGAACAGGTTGAGGTCCTTGAGTCTCTGCTCGTAGCTCTTACCTCTTTGTCCCACCATCATCCTTGTAGCCAGGCATTGCACTCTTTCTAGACGTTCGATTTCTTTCCGAAAGTAGGGTGCTCATGCTTGAACACAGTATTTCAAGTGAGGCCTGACTATGGCTTTGTACAGAGGGACCAGAACCTCGGGTCTCCTACACGTAATCGTGGAGTGTACACGAAAGTGTTCCCTTCGAGCTATATTGGCTGCCCTCTGACATTGTTGAGAGGGTTTGAAGTCGTAGGGTATAATTACTCCCCGGTCCTTAACTTCTCTCTCTTAAGCTGGATTTCATTCTGTATGTCAAGTTCAGCTTCTGTTGTTAGAAGCTGACATTTAGCTGGGCTGAGCGGAAGACCACCGTATAACAGCCTGCAGGTCCTAATATACCTTCGTTCCCGCC